CGTGTCATACTTCGACAGGCGGCCAAATTCAAGTTTGCGCGGCGTCTGCGGCGGGCTCGTCGGGAGCGGCGGCAAAGGCGTCAGATCAGGTGATGGCGGCGTCGCCATCGATGCAAAGTGCTGCGTATCAGAGCAGTGGTAATGATAAACCCATAACCAGAGATAGCCACTGGCTTGATTAGATATTAGGCGAGTTAGAATGGGACGGACATCCCGAAAAGGATCGGTTCGTTGGCAAAAGAGTCCGTGAGGATCCACGCATTTTTTCGTAGCCGAGCCCCAAAAAGCACTCAGTCATAGGGACGTTCTGTCTGGGGGTGGTCCGGTGCACCCCTCTTGACTGCAGGCGCCCTTCAGTAAGCGCCCTTCAGCCCGCTTACCCCCTACGGGGGCCCCTGTGCACTGGGCATTCAGTAGGCGCCCTTCAGCCCGCTTACCCCCTACGGGGGGCCCTGTGCACTGGGCCGGAATTCACTTTTGCCCAAGGAGCAGACAGGAGGTGATCACACATCATCACGGTCCGCACCCGTCGGGCGTTTGCGTTTGTCGGGCGTTTGCATCTGTTGGGCGCCCGCGTCCGGCGGGCGTTTGCGCCCGTGGAGGTCCGTGTCTGTGTCGCGTCCACGTCCATGGGGCGTCCGCTACACGGAACGTCCGCATCTGCACCCTGTTTGCATCCGCACCATCGCGGATGCAGACTAGAGCAGACGCAGATGAAAGCCGCGAGCCATCACAGACGAACGTCCGCGTCTGTGAGCTACTTTAGTCCCGATGAGAGGACGTTGCCGAACCGCTCGCCGTCTATACGGAGACCTGCGCCCGCCGGACCCGGTGGCATCGCGGCAAACGCGCTTCGAGGGACGATGTCGGTTGGCGCGCGGCGTCTTTGCCACGTGCATCTGCCGCGCGCGTCGGCGCTCGATCACGCCGTTGGCGGCGATGATGCGGCTCCGTCCCGCTAGGCAAGGGCCGCGCTGATAGGGGCGTAGGTGCCCGGGGTCCGTCGGGAGAACCATAATGTTGACTTTCGCCGCGGGGCTTCGCCCCAAAGCCCCACACGGAACCTAACCAGCAGCGCGTCGAGCCCCTCCGACAGCCACGGCGGCCCTCCCTTCGGGCAACCCGACGCGCTCGGGCGCTCAGCGGGGTTTCGACGGCGCGTCTCGGGTTCCAAAATGCCAGAGGGACATTTCACCCTCCCGAGGGCTCGGAGCCCGCCCATTGGTTCGGCGTCCAAATTGATGGGGTATATATACCAAATGCCAAAAATCGACTTCGGTTTTTCCTAATGACCAATTTCAACACTGTCGGTGATCTTGCATCGTCCAGTGTTCCGAGACCGAGTTCGAGCCAGGCAAATAGCATCACAATTCTTCAGCGCTTGAAGCGCCTTTAGCTCAGTTGGTCAGAGCCCAGGTCTTATGATCGCCGATCGAGCGATCTACAAGATTTTGCACTCGTCTCAAACAACCGGCGATGGATAGCCTGAGGTCACGGGTTCGAGCCCCGTAAGGCGTTAAACAAATCTCTTCTTAACATTTTTTTTCTTTTTTTCCGTCTTGTTGAGCTCACAACTTTTTCTTTCTTCTTCTTAGGATTTCCTAGGATTGCTTGCTTAAAATCCACCCTGGATTCCTATATTTGAGGACCCGAAGGGTCCTTGCCGTTTAATCAACGTCAGTTTACGGCAAGGGCCCTTCGGGTCCTTTGATTGAAGGATTACCAAGAGCAATTTTGTCTGTCCGTCCGTCTGTCCTTCGGTCTGTCCACGGGCAAATCCGTGAGGTTCCACCTTTGGGAAGAAAAGGGCAGCAACTCGGCCGATTCAGCGATTGGTGGTTGATGCGATTGCTAAAATTGGGAGTGGAGGTCGAGCAGGAGCCTCATTGGAATCATCATAGAAGAAGTTTTTGGTCACAGGTTCGAATCTGGTCGGCCGCAAAGAAGGAAAAAAATAGCTCAATAAGAAATAAAAAATAAAGATAAAGATAAGGAGGATTTGAAGGTTCAGCGATTAGTTAAATAATTTTAATTATTTACGTGGGCATTGCAACGGGATTTGTCTGTATCCTTCGCTCGAAGTCGGGTCCTCCGTGTGCCTCCGGCGCGCTTTTGTAATTATTTTTTGTTGGAGCGGCCGGCGGAGTCGTGCGTGAGCATGTCGGTTGCGGCCTTGTCGAACGAGAAGAATCGGTCGGCGGTGACGCGGCCGAGCGAGGCTTTTGACATAAAGTAATCCAGGTAAGCTCCAGCAAACTAGTCGTGGAAGTTGCCGTTGTGGATGCGGCGCAGTAAGGAGCGTATACATGCGCGTTGCCTTGCTCAACTTCGAAGCGCCGAAGAGCTGTCCGATCTCGCGGAAGTTGCCGGCAGAGTTTATGTTTAGAACGTGGTCGCCGCAACATGCGCCCAGGGACTTGACGAGGCGCCGCCGCGCGATGATGACGGCACCTCGGACGTTTCGGAGGACGTGGTAGCCGCCCAATCGTCCGGACGATCGTCGATTTCGGCCCCGCGGCCGCGCTTCTACGCGGCACCTACGCTCGTGTGCATCGTGTGCCCGGCAGCTCCCAGCGTTCATGTATGTACAGGGGCCCCCGTAGGGGGTAAGCCTGCTAAGGGCGCCTACTCAAGGGCGCCTACACACCCCTGGAAGGGCTATCGCGGAAATCGCCTACCGCGCCAACTAAGAAATTTGTTCAGGGGCAACTTTGCACGCGGCATCGCGGGACGAAAACAGGCCCGCAATTCCTTGGTTGAGCGAATTCTAACTGGTAACAAAAAAGTTAAAAAAGGTGTAATTTAAATCCGATTCCCCCCCAAAGGATCGAAAAAACATGACGTGAGGCGAATAAGTCCTTGGCGATAGGCGAGAGCCAACCAAAGAAGCCAAAAGGGCAGATTTTGAAGCGCCTTCGTTACCACGCCTTGAAAGGCGGGGGAGCTTGTCCCCGCCTTGCGCGTCGGTAGCCGAAATTGCCCCCGCACCAGCGTCCTCGTCGCTCTGTTTGATTTTGGCTTCCAGGGGTTAGCGCCTACAGTCTTTTTTAGGGTCATTTTAGCGACAATCGGGTTTTAAGAGAGACTTTAATCGTGGATCCTCACGGACTCTTTAGCCAACGAACCGACCCTTTCCGGGATGTCCGTCCCATTCTAACTCGCCTAATATCTAATCAAGCCAGTGGCTATCTCTGGTTATAGGTCTATCATTACCACTGCTCTGATACGCATTACTTTGCATCGATGGCGACACCGTCATCACCTGATCTGACGCCTTTGCCGCCGCTCCCGACGAGCCCGCCGCAGACGCCGCGCAAACTTGAATTTGGCCGCCTGTCGAAGTATGACACGCTCGAGAAGAACTTTCAGCGCGTGGTGTCGGCCGTTAACCCTTTCGACCCTAGCGGCGACGTGGACAGAGACGCACGCGACTTAGCGCGCTTATTGCAGGACATTGCCGACAACACGTCCGCGTTCGCTGACGAAATGGGCCACTTCTGCTTTGTATCTTCGGACTCGGACGCGTCGCAGCTGCTTATGCGAGTTCTACGCCAAGTGATGAAGGGCGCCACGCGCCACGCCGTCGGCGCCGCAACGGATGCGCCGACGGCCCTCGCGGAGCTCAACATGCGCTACAAGGGAGAAGCGCCTTTCAAGAAGCTCTGCAACCTCAACGTCTCGAACTTCAAGTCGCACCACAACCTGCACTCCGAGCACATTTACCTCGTCGGCATCGCGCAACCGTCTGCTGACGACGCGCGCAGCACTTTTGTCGACGCAATTTCGCCGGAAAGGGCTGGTTCAGCGTAAAAGTCTGTGCATCTTCGCTGGACGCTCGACAAGACGATTCCGCTGATTAATCTTTACCGCGAGCTCGACGTGTTTTGCAGGACGTCGGGCATTTTGTCGACGGCTTCTCCGCCAGCGGGTGTAAAAGCCGTCGCAGCTCAAAACGAGACAGCATCGGCGGTCCAGGTACTCGAATTACCGATATGATATGCGCACGGAGGCGTAGGACAGAAGGAGCTGCCTTGGCGCGGCCGACCCGCTTGCCCATCGTTATCCAGCGACGTCGCTTAATTATGTTAATTTTGCAAGCAGATTGGCCCAGCACTCGACCAGGGCGCGTTCGCAGCACCCTTTCCCATCGATGGGTGTCCTACGAGCTTCCC